ACACAATAACACAGAGTCTGAAGGTCTCTCAGTTTTTACCAAAGTAGGCCATGACACTATAGAAGGAAACCAAGATCTCTGGGATTTTTACACAGCTAAATAAATGGCCATTACATACAGTGACGTAGCATGGAGCATGCAAAAGATGCCACTATGGTCCTCTAGTGTGTTTAAAAACACAAAATGTTTGTTTCTACATAGTTAATAAATAGTCAATGTTTGCAAATGGGATGATGTAGTGACTATGTATGTGAGATTATTGGTTTGATAACTAACTTGGTGTCTTCTGTGTTCGACTTTGAGGGCAAAAACAAAGGGAAATGGAAGAAAACTCAATAATTATTACAATATTTTAACCACACTGCATTTTTTTGATTTTAAACATATGACCAATAAACGCATGGGTAATGCACACACAGAGATTCAAGGTGCTACACTGTTGTAAAATCTGAAACTAGCATGGGTTGCAATGAGGCTTTTTTTGCATCTGGATGCTGTCAAGGCCAAGCCAGCAATTTCTTTATTCAATAACGCATGCTATGCTTATACAGCAGCATTGGCAATATTTTCCACTTAAGTGCAATGAATAGGATATAAATGCATCTGAATCGGGGTCAGAAATTATTCAAGAATCAGGACATAAAAACCCTCCAGAAATGCCCTAGATATTTAAAAGCGGGGGCCAAAAATTCTGTTATCTGCTACCTAACTTGATAAATATTTTATCTAGGCCTATCTAGTTATGAGTTCAGAAACAATGACATTATTCAGCATTATTTCTGACAATGACATTTGATATAAATGGACAACACTGTTTGATGTTATAAAAATTTGGATGATGAATCGTGCACAAAAAGACCAGGAATGCATGGAAGAAAATAAATAGGATCAAGTGGGCAGATGAAACTTAAGACAGACTTAGCCAACCTCCAGAGCCTCCAATCACTGGCTGATAATTAAAATAGCTGAACACATGGCTTACAATGCCTCAACAGTCCTGTCATATGAATCCCTACCAGACATGTTTTCCTTTCCCAGGTGGGCGGGGCGTTCCGATGGAACGTGAGTGGGCGGGGCATCTTATGACTATTTACATATTCAACAACCTTGAAACGACTTATTAACATTACTATAATAACCAACTACAACCTTCTACAAAATTCCAAATGTCCTAAATCAGCTAAATAAGAGCGCGAACAAATGTGGAAAGCGATGGAAATTGACAAAGATGAGCAGTGTCACTCTGCAACAGATATTAAAATGAAAGTGCATGCAGGAAAATATGTGAACTGGGGGAAAGGCCTGTCCAAAAACGAAAACGAAGCCTAACGTACTTGACGTTGAAAAAAAAAAACAAGATAGGTGTCAAAATATTCACATTCGCTCGATAGACGCACACAGTGAAGCATTTGCAGATAATAACATGTTTACTCGACCTTTTTTCCCCTGTCAGCTCACAGTCTGTCATGTTTTTGTCAAGTACGGGGCTTGGGGGACTGGAGAAGAGGCTCACAAAAGCCATGATGGTTGGAAACGGAAAACTGGCCCTTCTCCGCAACCAGAGTGAGGAGCATCAGTCACTCGTTGGCTGAAGGTTTTGATATACTGACAGTCTGGAGGAAAAACTCACGGTTTACGCGTCTCAACAACACATGAGACGCTTTACAGACATTATATCCGCTCTCATGTTTAACGCTGTCTCAACACAGCTTTGATAATGTCCCCGGCGGTTTCACAGATGCCCTGGTGCGAGACTGCAGACGCAGAATATTGTGTTTATGTTCGAAGGCTTTTTCGGGATCTTCCACAGACATGGCGCCCGCAACACTTTCGTGAAAATGGCTGCGAGGATCTTGCAGAAGCCACTGCTCCCGCCCACTTCGTGAGCGGAGCCAATCGCTGGGCTTTAAAGCTACAACGACCCGCTCTGCTATTGGTTGAAGCACTGGCGCCATAAGCGGGAAAACATGTTTCTCTTAATCTATTGGCTATTGAGAATGTCATCGTTTTGATGCTCACCGTACAAGTTAGAATGACGCACTATTTATATTCTGATGTTTATTACTTTATTAACGCTTCTGTTTTGGCATTTGATTTAATCAAATAATTCCTTTTTCTAAAACATTGCAATATCCCTTGGAATTTAATAAACTTTTAATACTTTTAAAGACTAAATATTGAATAGGACAGTGCAATTCATAGATGAAACGGTAACACTTTAATGAATAAGGTTCATTAGTTAACTACTTTAGTTAACATGAACTAAGAATGAACAATACTTCTACAGCATTTATTAATCTTGGTTAATGTTAATTTCAACATTTGCTAATGCATCATTAAAAACAAAATTTGTGCTTGTTAACAATAGTTAATGCACTGTGAATTAACACGAACTAACAGAGAACTGTATTTTCATTAACTAACATTAACAAAGATGAATAAATACTGTAATAAATGTATTGTTCATTGTTCGTTCATGTTAGTCAATACATTAACTAACATTAACAAATGGAACCTTATTGTAAAGTGTTACCTATGAAACAAATGGAGCAAAAATGTAACAATAGAAAAGTTTAAAGGAATAACTCACATTCCCAATGCAATACCAATATACTATATACAGCATTTGTCATAAACAGCCTGTTTATTTTGTGTAGGCTAAAGGAATGATTGCAAGTGAGGGTGATTTCATAATTACAGTACTGTAAAGTATCTGTTAGACTATGCAAAATAAAAAAGTTCCACTACATTTACAAACTCTTTAAGCTGTGATAAACAAGCTTGTATAGCACATGTATGTCTGCAAGATGTCTGTTAAACATCGCTTCATCTGGAAAGCATCTGCTGTGTACAAACATCTGATAGACGTCTTTAAGATGTAATTTCAAACATAGCCTACTTTCTAAATCATAAACATCTTAAAGACATTTTCCAAACGTCTATTTGACATCTGACAGGAAACGTCCAATAGAAGTATTGCAGATGAACAAACACTCTAAAAAATACATCTTGCAGATGTAAACGCAGACGCCAAATAGACGTCTCTGTGATGTCCGTATGCTATCAGGGTTAGTATCCAAAAAAGTAGTATGTAAAATCTCTATAGACTTTTATTGCCTATAGAGATGTGATTATTGCCTGTAGAGAAATTATGTGTATACTATACTTGAGATTCAGTTCTACACATAAATGAATATAAACATATTTGTCTGTGGCAATAACAACAGTAATAATAATAATAATAATAATAATAGCCTATATAGTTTGGAGTCACACTCGCCTTAAATATCTTATGTTTCCTGAGAAATATTCATTAAATTCAAAGATAAAGATGCTTCTGATTCATCACTTGTGTCTTTTATCTCGTCCTCGGGTGGTTTTGTTGTTTGTTGCCTTATACATATAAATAGTACAGTTAGGCACACTGGTAAAGCAAATCCGAGAAAAAAGGCAGCCACTGCCTTAAGTACAATCTCTGTGATTTGTGATAGAAGCAAAGATTTCTCCTCTGAAAAAAAAGAGACAAAGCAAGTCAAGTTTTCACATAATTTATCATTATGCTCATATGAATTATTTATGCGCTTGTGAGTGACTTACCATAGGCTATCCTCAGTATCCCATCAATGCTTAAGTGTTCGATCTCACAGGTAACACTCTGCGCACTCACGTTACTAAGGCTAAGATAGGAGATCATCTGGAAAGTGCCATCTTTGTGAGGGAGTACTCCAGTAGTTGATACACCAAAATAGACTGGCCTTCTATTTTGGGTCCAACGTACTCGAATGATGTTTGGATAGAAGCCATGCACAGCACATTTAAGATATTCCTGATCCTTTTCTCCTCCAGAAGACACATATACTGCAGGTTTTGCTACATTTGAATAAACAATTGTTTATCAATTTTGCAATGTGAAACCACCAAATAAATATAAAATGTACTTTATATATACGTATATGTGTGCATCAAAAGCATCCAAGTTACAGTGATAGACTGCTGATTTACCTGCCCTGGAGAGGGAGTTGTTTGACTTCAGGAAGACCGTTTTCACAGCAGAACACACCTTTACTAGTCGTGCCTCTTTTCTCTTAATGTATTCTTTGCTCTTTCTCTCTTCTGCTAAAAGCTGACCAGGTTCACTGGTAGCAACCACAGCTTCCTTCGCCAAATCCACATGCATGATATCTCTGCCATCATACCCATAGCGCCAGAAACGGCTTACTTGCCCTTCATTGTTAAATGCACATCCAATGAACTGCTGGTATGCATGTTCTTCTAAAATAAATCAAGTGTAATATCATCATTAGTGACTTTCAGTAGCTCACATGCAGGTAATTTAAAGTTAAAATATGCACAAAACCCATTTGAATCAGTCATTTTTAGTCTTTGTCTTCGTCTGGACTGAGGTGTTGAGTTTTAAAAAAAATTTTTTATAGATATTGGTAAGATTCAGAGATTCTGTTTGCTACTGCAGAGTGTTGACATATTTCTAGATTGCACACTCAGGCTTGCAAACAAGCTTAAAACTTCTTAAAACATATTTTAAATATATTCACCTAGACAGTATTACATAACTGACAGTATTTTATATAAAAATATATATTTTGGACAAAATGCCCTACCTGCCCCAAGGGTGGTGTTAAAGAAAGCCATGATGAGGAGAAAAACATGCATTTTGTTTTGTCAAAATTCACCACACTTAAAGTCGAATTTCAAAACTGAAAGTAGGTCTTTATTGCTGCTATAATGGTGCAATCCAGTTCTTTTGCAACTGCCAGTTTTGTATTTGCAATCACTTAATATGACTAAAATACTTAGAAAAACAAAATAATTCAAACTTGTAAAAGGAAACCACAGCACAACAAAAGTGAAAGTACAGAACGAAAAAAAAATCTAGTCAAGACATCATGTGACCAAGAACAGTTATTTTACGGTCAAACTGTTTTAACAGGAAGACATTGGCTTTTAGTTACTTTCTGAAGACAACTGCGTGAATGGCACACATGGAAATCATCCAGACATTGGTGTTAATCCTTCTGCTTTCTCCTCAGATCACCATGTGGACAGGTTATTTAAAATATTGTTTTGTTTTCTCATCCTTCCTTCTCCACAGGAAGTAATGCATCATTTAGACAACAGGAAGAAGAAAATCTTAGCATGTTTAAATTCATTGCATTTATTAATTTGAAAATGCATAACATTTTGAATACAAACCTGATACTTCAGTGTAAGTATATTTTCATATTTTTCAACTTAAAATGGTCATAGGTTCTCTGAGACTTGAAGCTAAACATGAGGGTTAAATAGGCAATGATTTTTAATGTTTATATGTAACATGTTAATTAAATTAAATGGACCGAAATTACTTGTTGGTATTGTTTGCAGGTTTATTTTAAGTATATGATTTCTTCAGTGTAAATTAAATGTTGAATGTTTAATTTTCAATGTCTGTTCTCTCTCATTCTTAGTCTTGGCCTATAAAGTACTAATGTATGTTTTTGTAGACTACCAGACAGTGAATGTCCTGGCCTACACGCGGATGATGGAGAATGGCTCCATAGACCAGGCAGTGGTTGTTTTGGTGAATGAAGCCACATTTGCATACTTTGACCAGGCAAAAAACACATTTGTCTTACGTCCCAGTGCAAGCGCCGGGTTCTCAGTTTTAGAAGGCAGTGATCGCTCGTTCTGCATGTATGAGGTGTTAGCAGGATTTTATCGACAAACTGATTACCTGGAGAAACTCAAACAAGAAACAAATTCAGCAAAATCACTTTTGGGTAATCTGATCAGAAGTTATGATGTCTTTCTAAACCAACATCACATTCTCTCTCTCTCTCTATATATACATATATGAATTTTCAAATTGAAGCAAACTACTTTTTTAACTACTATTCGACTTTTCTAATTTGACTTCTTTTTCTTCTGCAGTACGCCCTTCAGTCAATGTGTATACTGAGTTTCCTGAACAACAAGGAAAAGTAAACGTACTTTACTGCTATGCCACTGGGTTTTACCCTGGTGACATTGAAGTAAACTTTTATCTAAATGGCCAAAAGTCCACTGTGAAAGCAGAGACCTCTGACTTAATGTATGGGGAAGACTGGACCTTCAGAGTGTACAAGTATATGAATATCACCCCACAGTATGGAGACAAGTACACATGTGAAGTGAGACACAGTAGTATGGTTGAACCTAAAATGACAGAGTGGAGTAAGTTTGTTCACTTTTTTGGAAATGACGAAATATAAAATCAGTAATAAAACTGTCTGCTCTTTTCTCAAGGGCCTGAATTTTCAGTATCCACATCACATCTCTACTGGGCTTATTCACTACCTCTCAGCATCCTGTTGGGCATCATGGTATCTGTCCTGATTTTAAGAAGAAAATGCCGTTCTCAGTTATAATGGTGCTTTGAAAGACTAAACTGCAGCATATATGTGCATCTGTGAACTTTGTGGCTTATATATCCTCCTGGGACCCAGGCATAGACCTCTGTAGAGGACATTATATTTGAGTGAATTTCTCTACATGCCACATTTAGGTCTGGATGTCCTGTTCAGAGCACATTCAGGGCTTTTCAGAGATATCAAATGTTTGGAGGTTTGATCATAAACACACCCTCTCTTTGTTCTTTAAAAATGAATTTGAAATAATTTTCAAATTGTTTGTCGTAAATAAACATCTCAGAAAAATGCTATGGGGTTTCAAATCGGAATATGACTTTTTGTTATGAAACAAGGCATGATTTTCATGCATGTCTTCTGTAGAGGACACCAGGACAAATGGCTGTTAATCAGGCATTTTGAGAAACACAACAAGCCAATAGGGAAAGAAATTATAGCTCAATATTCCTATGAAATATGAGATACTCTTATGAAAATGTCGCAACGTTATTACTCTCATAATAACACTTCTTTTTTCATTATGGTTTGCCCCAAGAACACATTAATATGCAAATTAGATGCAGTGTATAGATACATTGAATAAAATAGGAATATTAATTTATGGACATTTTACACACGTGTTGCATAAAGTAAAATAGTATATCAAATCATTCTGTTATTTCTTTCATAACATAGTTGAGAATCATCTTTGTACAAAGTTTGGCTAAAAATAGCCTGAAACCTAAAAACTACAATAAATCATTGTTTTTGCCTATACATGCCTTTTCATGTCTATTAATTTTTTTAATAACTCAGTCCTGACGTCCTCTACAAAGGACATAGAATAAAATATCTTTTTTCAAAAACGTTTTTCCTCCATTTGTTTTTTTATGCTCCAACCAATGTAATGACATAATAAATAAATAAAGGATATAGATGAGCACAATACAGAACTCATTCATTTAGGTATAATCCATCACCAGATCCTTAAATTATTTAATTTAATCTTCAGATTTGTAACTGAAGTAAATATCCGTGTTTACATGTTTTAGTGTCCTTTAGTCACTCTAAAAAAAAATGTGATTAATAAAATTCAATATTTACTGTGCAAGACCCAACCTGAACACATGGTGGGAGCAAAACCACAAAAACTTTTCCTCATCCCAACTTCAATAACTTTTAAAACATGTATTTAGAAAATTTAGCAGACAAATGTCATCAATTGTAAGCCACATGTTTTATGTCTCATACTTATCATACATATGTAGATATTTACAGTATCACAGAGACATTTTGATGGACGAATGAATGCTGCCCTCACAGAAGAATCTGAGTTGAGCGAATCGGTTCGACAGAATCGTTTGAAAGAATCATTCCAAAAGAACAACTCGCGAATCAGACATCACGACTCCACAGGCGCTCGCGCGTCTTCATGAGGAGAACAGGAGCATCTTTACTAACTTCTGCAACAGTTTATCAAACATTTCCTCTCAGGCTTGTTTCCAACGACTGTTAGACTGCACAGCTTGGAACCGTAAACACACTTAAGGATTAAAAACAACCGACACAAGAAGAAAATTCAGCGCTTTTACAGAGATTCAGAAATAGGAGGATGAAGTTATCATGCACAGTTTTTTTCCTGCTGAATTTTGTATCATTGTATGACTGTAATGATGCAGCGCAGGTGAGTATAAACGTGTATTTATAATTCTATTATTGATATTTACATAATATAATTAATAGCTCTATATTTATATGAATATAGAATTATAATGTAAATAATCAATCATATTATATTAGTACATCATATGATTTTTTTTATTATTATGGGATGTTGCAAAAATCTAGGTATCGAAAGCAGTCTCAATTACAAACATTTGACAAACTTGGCATACAGTACATACATGAATTTGAATAAACATCGCATGATATTTTGTTTTGTTAATTTACTTTTGCTCCAAAAGTACTGGATTGTGGAATCACATAAACAAAACAGCATGTCAAGAATCATATGTGCTCAAATTCTGCAAGATTGTTTGCCTTTTCTGACTTTTCTTCATCATTTTTGCTCAACGACTTTTAGTTAGGGGATTTGGTGATTTGTAGTGGATTTATGAAGTCAGTTTTTTCATAGGTGTATATTTTTCAACCTAACTAATTTCTGTTTGAGTTTTGCTTGATTTTTTTCTTCACAATAAATCCCACTTGCATAGATAAAAGTTTACGTTTAATCGAATTCAATGACATTGAGACATTTTAAGTGTGACTTGAGTGTCCAAAAGGTTTTGGAGCCAGCGATGTAAGTTATATCATTAAATATGTCAGATGCATTTTTGTATCTTATCCAGATTAGCACTGCCTTTATTTACCATGGCAGACGCTTGGTGAAATTTAAAGCCAATACATTTCCTCTCTCCTCTAACGAGACTGTATTTAATTGCCATGAATAACATACAGGAGACCAGCGTTTTGTCGCGAATCAGACATCACGACTCCACAGGCGCTCGCGCGTCTTCATGAGGAGAACAGGAGCATCTTTACTAACTTCTGCAACAGTTTATCAAACATTTCCTCTCAGGCTTGTTTCCAACGACTGTTAGACTGCACAGCTTGGAACCGTAAACACACTTAAGGATTAAAAACAACCGACACAAGAAGAAAATTCAGCGCTTTTACAGAGATTCAGAAATAGGAGGATGAAGTTATCATGCACAGTTTTTTTCCTGCTGAATTTTGTATCATTGTATGACTGTAATGATGCAGCGCAGGTGAGTATAAACGTGTATTTATAATTCTATTATTGATATTTACATAATATAATTAATAGCTCTATATTTATATGAATATAGAATTATAATGTAAATAATCAATCATATTATATTAGTACATCATATGATTTTTTTTATTATTATGGGATGTTGCAAAAATCTAGGTATCGAAAGCAGTCTCAATTACAAACATTTGACAAACTTGGCATACAGTACATACATGAATTTGAATAAACATCGCATGATATTTTGTTTTGTTAATTTACTTTTGCTCCAAAAGTACTGGATTGTGGAATCACATAAACAAAACAGCATGTCAAGAATCATATGTGCTCAAATTCTGCAAGATTGTTTGCCTTTTCTGACTTTTCTTCATCATTTTTGCTCAACGACTTTTAGTTAGGGGATTTGGTGATTTGTAGTGGATTTATGAAGTCAGTTTTTTCATAGGTGTATATTTTTCAACCTAACTAATTTCTGTTTGAGTTTTGCTTGATTTTTTTCTTCACAATAAATCCCACTTGCATAGATAAAAGTTTACGTTTAATCGAATTCAATGACATTGAGACATTTTAAGTGTGACTTGAGTGTCCAAAAGGTTTTGGAGCCAGCGATGTAAGTTATATCATTAAATATGTCAGATGCATTTTTGTATCTTATCCAGATTAGCACTGCCTTTATTTACCATGGCAGACGCTTGGTGAAATTTAAAGCCAATACATTTCCTCTCTCCTCTAACGAGACTGTATTTAATTGCCATGAATAACATACAGGAGACCAGCGTTTTGGACAGAGGTCGTAGAGACATCTGCCTAACAGCTTTCTGTAGAGCTGCCTTCAAGCAGCTGAAGAGAAAAAGCGAGTATTAGACTCTTACATGTGGTTCCTGGAGAGGACCTAGAGGTTGCCCACTGACCGAATGCACGGTCCAAACGCATTTGGGACTACATTGCTTCTGATATATTGTTGCTGGAGTAATATTTGTGTTTCTAAGGGAACTGGGTTGTGTGCTGGCACGCCGATGAGCTGCTAAACACTGGCCTGAGCTTTCATGTCATGCCCCACAGGAGTCCCTGTGCCTTAATGCATGACATTACCCACAACATCTGGCCTTGATCATTCATGTGTGCCATTTTTCATTTTCATACAAAGCTAACGTTTAGTGGGAATGTTCCTTGCGATCGTTTTGGATGTCCAATATCTCCTCCATATGAGCTTGTGTTCAGGCGAATCTGTAATTTAGGGATAACTGCTTGCCATCAAATTGTAACCAGGTGCTGGGATGGTTGCTTTTTTTGCCTCAGGGTTGTATGGATAAGCACCGAGTGATGGGGGTACTGCGTCAAATGGAGAAGTTTCTTAAAGGACAGGAGATCCGATTCACCGAAGGGCTTCGGATTATGAAGTCCAAGCTCACCAACCTTCAAAACTCAGTGTCCAAGCTCCCACAAGCAGACCAGTCCTCATGTAAGTGCCATAACACGTGACACATTCATACATCTCATTATATCAATGGACTGTGTGACTGGTTCTTTCTTCTTTCCTAAATGTGCATGTTTATTTCTGACTTACTGAGTCCACATAGAGCCGGTGTGTGTGATGTCATTCAGGCATCTGGAGTTGCTGGCGTCATAGTCCTCGACTCGAGGACACTGTAAAACATACATCAAAGTGGAATATGAAATATGTAAACCTGCAGGCTGCTTCAGATTTGAGGCCAGCCAGCGCTGTTATTGTTTTAGAACTAAAGCTATCAAAAATAGCTTCCAGTAAAGCTGAAATTAAAACACAAATATTAGATGAAACACTAAAAATACACTGAAAAAAATGGTGTAAGATTTACTTTGAAATCATTTTCACTCAGAAATTGCTAGTTAATTTTTTTCCAATAATTACAAAGAAACTACAAGAAACACTCACATGTGGTTGCCGCAAGCCCGCTGGACGCTCCTTCGTTGAATCTGCAGGCCTGCGGCTAGAATGAGCAGCGGCCTGCAGATTCAACGAAGGAGCGTCCGTATGCCCCGCCTTTTTGAAACGCGTCGATTTTTACAAAGCTCATCAGTCTGAAAAGCGAGGTGTGCTCTGATTGGCCAGCTATCTAATGCATTGTGATTGGCCGAATACCTCAAGCGTTTGACGGAAATGTTATGCCCCTTAACATACTGTGATGCCCTGTCCAGCCGGAGCGACGAGACAAAAACATTAAAACCCATTATAAACTAGGCATTTGTTGCATCCAGTGGGGACAGATTATAATGACTTATACTGTCTTACGCGCCGCGTAAACATAAAACCATGTCTGCATTTGTGATCGGAGAAATGACAAACAACAAGTGCTTCTCTACACTGCTCAAAACTCGTGTTTGAATCATCAGTGGCAAATTCTTTAAATATAAAAAATTTAAAATATAAAATGCGCTGCACACATCTGAATATTTGGGTTGAACTGATCCACAGCGT